TACATTTGGTGTATGTATACACATATACTGCATAAAGGTAAGTAGTTAACTATTATAAATTATTTTCCCTGTTGTGTATATAACATGCTAATGAAAGCATATAGAAAGTAAATGTATTCTTTGAAGAAAAACATTGACAGATGTATCTTTTAAAAAAATCTATCAATCATAATGTAAAGTTTTATTATTTTGACTTTCTTCTCAGGTGAAATTTACCCCAAGATGTATCATATCTGTTTCTTTTTGGTGACATACATGGCACCACTGTGTCTTATGGTATTGGCTTATCTGCAAATATTTCGTAAACTGTGGTGCCGACAGGTATGTAATTTCAAATAATTTACTTGTGTTTTCTTTAGGATTGCTTAAAAACAAAATTTAAAGATGTACTAAACCAACATAACATGTTCAGCAATGTATTGTGTGTTCTAAAACAGTAAGGATCTAGCCATGGTTACATGCCTAGGCATTTTTTAGAGTGATATTTAAAGAAAGGATTTTACGACCTGCCTTAAGGACTTTAAAGTTTAAACCAAAATTTAACTTCAGTAAAAAATTGACTTGATTTTTGTGTAGAAGTAACATTAATTTTGCTTTTTGTGAGAAACAGCAAATAAAAATTTCTTTATGGTTTTCTGAGACTATAAGTCTAGAAGGTTATATTTTTGATGAGATTTATGTAATACATTTTAACATATGGATTAAATCTCCAACTTCAAAGATCTCAGTTTTTAGAAGAGTGGAAGAATCAGGCAGAATGTGGAATTTTACAAAATGTTTATGACACTGATTTGAGGTTACTGCAGTTTGTTAGATAATTCTGCTATATCAGTGAAGGTTTGTATTCACTCAGTTATTCATTCATCAAATATTTATCACATATATTTTGCATACATGTCTCACAAAAGCTAAAAGCTCCAGTTTTGCCATTGAGGAATTTCATAGTCTAGAGGAGGGGAATAGTCAGATGCACGGTGAAAATTACGTTAATAAATATAAGCACAATAAATCAGAGTGAGGGGTAGTGAAGAGGTATGTAATCGAGGGCAGGTAACATTTAAGTTGCACCTTGAGATTTGAAGGAAATCCCACTAGCAAACACCTATAGTGGTTTGCAAAAGTACAGACAAACGATATGGCTCAGTCTCCTGTACTTTGTAAACTCTATCTTAAAATGCCACAATTATTAGAGATGTATTTCTCTTCTTCTCTAAATTTATTGCCAATACTTTGAGCTTATCAGGCTTATGGAAAGCCATGCCATAGCTACCTGTTGAATTGGTGCATGTGACTGTTTTTTTAATAAAATGCACTTCTTTAATAACACTTTTAAATAGCATTATAGTGTCTCTTTTGTCTGTCTCCTCTACTCTTCTAAGGTAAAGACAGCACACTCTAGCCTTCCTCTTTGTATTCCTCCGACGAGCACATGCTCACAACATAACAGATGCTCAGAAAACACTGTATAAGAAATAAGTTAGTAGAAGAATATAAGACAATGCTGGGAATGTTTAGATAAAGAAAAACATAGGGAATCCATTTCCCAGGCACTCATATAAAAGTTCTTAGAAAAAACTAGAATTTTAAAAATTTCATGAAGGGGAAAAAGCATTTAATGAGCATGTAGGGATAAAGGCATTTTACATTTAGATTGAGATTTTGACAGGGAATGTTCAGTGTTAACATCATCCCCTATTTTTA